TCGGTCATGCAGAGCGAGTACCTCGACAGCATGCAGAAGTATCGGGAAATTAGCAACATGCCGCGGGATATTGACACACAATCTTGGAACAACTTTATCCGCCAAAATTCGAATATGATGGCTGCCTCGGGCCGGGAGTCATCGCCCATGAATCACTCTGGAATTGAACGCTTCCACCAGCTTCTGAGCGAGGGGTCTACCCCAAGAGAATTTCCGGTTGCTACGAACGGATCCTACCGATCAGTCTCGCCCACACAATCCGCCGTGGCGCCGATGAGCAGGGTCTCTACCCCCCTCGGCCAACAACATCCATCGTTCCAACAGGACCAACATCCCGTGCACCAGACGGAAAGGCAGGGAGATATGATTCGTCCTTCGTCTAGCGCTTCTATGCGTGATGCGGACTTCGCTGCCCATGCACGCTATACCAGCCGCCGAGGATCCATTCAATCGGGCTACGGTAGCTGTGAAGAATCCACGGAATCTCAACCTCGCAAGCGGGCCAAGTTGTACCGAGCGGATGGGCCTGGCAAGCCTGAACTCAACATCGAAAGACAGCCCAGCTCTCTACGGGTGGCTGCCAGCACGGCCGCCTCTGTTCGAATTCACCGTCCCACCCCAATCAACCCTTCCATCGCGGCTGCTCAAAACTCGAATGAGGAGCCCGTGCGCCCTCCCACTCCTATCTCCGGTGCAAACGATTTCCCCCGTCGATCGCGTCCGCCTCCGAGTCTTTTGCGCGAATCGTCCGTTCAGAGTACGGGCCATTACACATCGCCTTATCCTACGAGCGACGACCAGACTCCATTCGAGCCACCCTCGCACTCTCCAGAGGAATCCCGGTACCAGGGTCTCTTTGAGCCTTCGTTCAGCATGCCTTCGTCCCCTCCCGTTCTAGATTGTGGATTCCCAAACCGTTCGAGTCCCGTACTTCCACCGATGATCACTGATCCCGACTCTGGTTTCATGAGTGGGGGTATCGACGAACTTATGGACGATGATATTGGTACACCATTGGACGAATTCGTACCGTCAGCATCTAAAAGCGCACCGAAAGAAAAACGAACCGTTCGCCAGGCTGTGCAAGCTAGCTCCCCCGCGAGCGCACCGCCGAATGTTGAAACTCAAAACGAAAACAGTCACCCAGAGAATTTCTCAAAGGACACCATCTCTGCACTTCCTCGCCCCCCTGCCAGTGCTGCAGGCTCGAGACCGTCTTCGCGGGCGAGTTTCCGGCAGGCACCTAAGCCTCTGGCCCCTGCTCCCATTTCACAGAGCGAGCTGGAACAGCTTATCAGTGCGATACCCGCCAGTGACCCCGCCATGCCCTCCAATGCCAACAACAACCACTCCCAAGGACAGAACTCCCAGTCCTGGAACGGTCCAATGAGTGATATCCCTACCGCCGAGACCCCAGCTGCACAACCCGGGGCTGTTGAGGATAGGAAGATTCGCAGTGGAGCCGGAGCCAGACGACTCAAGCAGGTGCAAGCTCGCCTAGACAGGTGTATCCGCGACGGTCAAGCACCCCCTTTCTGTGAGAACTGCGGCGTGATTGAGACGCCTACTTGGCGCAGGGCTTGGTCCAAGGAAATCGAGGGCAGCGAGCAGGAAGCCAACGAACTCACCAAAGACCCGGTCATCTTCTTCTGGCAGTCGCTTAAGAGAGATGACCAAGACACGGTCACGAAGTTCAAAATTTACAAGAAGAGCTTGGTGGACGCCGACAAGGATTTTGTTCAAGTCCTTCTTTGTAACCGTAAGTGCTACTAACTTGTTTCGTGCTTGTCGACTTTGGCTCTTTTGGTACTGACTCGAGAAAAAAAGCTTGTGGACTATGGCTTCATAAATTCAAGTGCATGCGCCCGGAAAACAAGTGGAACAAGGGCTCCAACAACAAAAGGAAGCGCCCCCCAAGGAACCGCAAGACTGGTGGCCCCCTCTCGACCAATGGTACGGCGACCAGAAGCCGCAAATCCGAATCCGGCAAAACGGACGGATCCTCTCCTGGAGCCTCTGATGCCTCGACGCCGGCGAACGAAGATCCCGCGACCCCACGCGCAGAGAATGATAGCAACAAGAAGACTGGCAGCACCGAGAAAAACACCCAGGAGAATGATGATGATGATGATGATGACGACGACGACGACGTCGAAGAGCTGCCCTCGAAGCGGCGCCGAGCCACCAGCCTAGAGCCCCGAAAATCCACGGACACTTCGGGAAATCGCTGGCAAGAGCAGAATGCGGTGGGCGCACTTCGTCGGGCCATTCAGTCTAGTCCAGCTCGGAATCTTGAAAATCACAGTTCTGCAGCGCTGGGTGAGAAAACTATTACTCCCAAGCCCGTGAGGAGAGTACTGTTTCCTAACTCCCAAAATGAGGGAGGGCCTTTGAAGGCTTTAGGCGAGTCAGCTCTGAACAGCCCGCGACGCAGCCCTCGCATCGCGTCTCGTGAATCAGACAAGCGTTCTCAGGACAAAGAAAACGGCGGCGGCAGCAACTCGGCTAACCTGGATCGCCTGTTTGAGAGTCCCTCCTTTGGGTTTGATCTGCCTACCAGCCCTACCCCCAGAAGACGCAATCCTCGCGCAGGCGTTCTGAGTGAAAAGCGTCTTTCCCTGCCGTACAACTCGCCTTCGTCGTCGAAAGCACGCAGGGACATTGGATCGGATCTGTCACCGACCAAGCTGACTGCGCAGAGATTGCAGCGCATTCAGAGCAGCCCGGCGTCGTCCACCCCGCGTCAGGGCCGAACGCCCAAGCAGTCTCGCTCGCAGATGCCCGATCTGTCTTCTCTGCCGGACGACGCGTTCGGGACCGAAGCATTCGAGGGGATGAACAGTATTGTTGATATTTTCTCCGAGGATACGGCATCGGCGGTGCATACCGATTCCCTGTTTGCTTTTGAGGCGTCCAAAGGTCCATCCAGCAGCAACTGGGCCGACTGGCTCTCGCCCGGATCGGACGAAGACCAGAATGCGGACCTGATCAGCGCGATCCTCTCCGATTCGGGGATGGGCAAAGAAAACATCGACAGTTCTCAATTTGATATCTTTGATTATGCCGATTCAAATCTCCTGGATTCTGGCTTTTTCGGATCTGATGCCCTCAACGCCGATTTGATCGCCTTGGGTGTCAAGCCCAAGCCATCGGCGGAGGAGTCGACCGACAAGGAACAAGACTCCAGTGCGAATAATGCCTGATGAGTTCCTTTGATCTGTTTGAAAACATTCTGTCTACGTGACAATTCTTTCTTTTTTTCATCCATCTTTTCATGTCCTGTTTTTTTAGCGATGGCGTTCGGTGGTGACTAAGGCACATGAGCCTACATCATATCATATTTTTGGTCACTTAAGATTACCCTTCCCCTTATTTTCGTTGCTTCCTGCCCAAGAGGCTTGGCTGTTCATTGTTAATGTCTGATGTTATGCATGTATGGTGCCTTCTGGCACTGTTTGGTTCCAATGTTGCTCATTCTTTTGCTTTTCTTTCCTGATATCGAATCCTGAATCCTGAATCCTGAGTTCTGTCATGGTGGATACCCAGTCAGACCTTACCGCTATTGCGAGAATATGAATTGAACGAATTATGCGATCACTGCTGTCTGCTTAAAGGGATTTGATTGTGCCGTAGATCTGTCGTTAACCTACCAAGACAGAATGTTTTACCCAGACTACTATCTTCTACCTATAGATACACAGTCACGAAGACACATAACTAAATAGATAGATAAAACAACCCATAAAATTCAATCAGGTATCTACATAGAATACTAAGTAAACCTCAACTCGACAATCTCAAAAACACGAGATTATTGATTGGCACTGATAAACATAACATAAAAGAACAGAAATTCGACAGGTAGGTACCTAGACACGGCGGTAAGGTAGTTCGGTAGGTATTTAGGTATTGCGATAGATATTTTGGTAGATATTCCATCATCCCCCCCCCCCCCCTTCCCTTGTCTCTCCTTGCCCCCACTTCCCTTGATTTTGATGTCCCCTCATTCGTTACTTCGTCGGTTCGTTCGTTTATTCGTCGTAATAGATCGATTTCACGCGATGCGTTGCGTCGACTAGTTTTTCGTAGATGGAGTAGTCTGGGATATCTTAGCTCTAGATTGTCTATCGTATTCCTGCGAAATTATAGAGAGAGAGAGAGAGAGACGGAAGGAAGCAACAAACGAAAGAAAGGATGGGTAGAAAGAAAAGACATACCACACTTCTCCGGACTCCCCCAATCAAAGCTCCCCAGGACTCGTACTCCAATGCCCTATAGTTATAACAAACACGAAAGATTAGTAAATCCAAATCATATCACCCTCCATCGGCATGATAAATAGATAGATATATAGGGAATACATACCCCCTCATGATCCGTAACCTTCCCCACAATCTCAACCAACTTGCCCATCTGGAGATGGCTATCCGGCTTCAGGATCAGCGTCGCGTCGCCGTTATTGCCGCATGAGATCGTTGCCGTGTCGCCGTGTAGCGCTGTCACTGTGCCGAGCAGACGCACTGTGTTTGTGGAGCGCGCGCCGGTCGTGTTGGAGGGATGGAAGGCGTGCAGGTGGGCGGGGAGGACGCGGGGTGTTTGGAGGGACATTTTTTTTCTTGGTGGGTGGTTGTCGAGATGGTGGTGAGCGTTGTTGGACAAGGGGAAGAGGTGGTTATGAGTTTTGGGTGTTGGATGAGGTTGAGATGGATAACTAACTGTCTGCCTGCCTGTATCTGATAGGAAGTGGGGAGTCGCGCCGCGCAGAGACGCGAAGTCACGTGTTTTAAAGCTGCCTGCGCCCGGAGCTACCTTGACTTGGCTAAGACTAGTTGCGGATTTTACTTTATCGCAGTCCGTCAGAATCTATACAACCAAACCTCACTGTCTCTCCAATTCCAATCACCATACCCACGACTCATGATACCCACCCATCTTATCTCTCCAAAACTCCTATCTCATAAAATAATCCCCACGAATCGAACCGAGAAAAAGAAAAGAAAATGCCACCCCCCCTCCCCTCCCACCACCGCGGCATGACCGCAAACCCAGTCCGACCTGGCCGCTACCGACCCGGAAAAGCCGTCGCCGAGGAACCGTCCTCATCGGAAGAAGACGACGACGACGACGACGATGCCGCAGAGCAGGAAAAGGCGCGGATAGAGGAACGGCGCAGACAGGAGCGGTTGCGCAGGGAGCAGGCGAGGGCGCCGGCGCCGAAGGCGAGTTCGTTTCCGGCGGGCGCTGCGGTGTCGAAGGGGAAGAGATTGAAGGTTGAGGAGGAGGAGGGAGATGATGAGGAGGGGTTTGTGACGGAAGATGAGGAAGAGGATGAGGCAGAGGAAAAGGTGGCATCTCGTGTTGCAGGCGACAATGTGGGTGCTACTGGTGCTGCTGTGCCTAAGATTCTGGGGAAGAAAGAAGAGAGTGCAGAGGAAGAAGAAGAAGAGGGAGGATCGGAAGAGGAAGAAAGTTCCGAAGAAGAGAGCAGTTCTGAAGACGAGGCCCCCCGACGAGTCCTCCTACGACCTACATTCATCAAAAAAGACAATCGGAAACAAGTGCAACACGGACAGGTACAAGGACCAGGAGCAGGAACGAGTGACACCCCCGCGGATGCCGGCGCCGACCCCGAAGCCCAGAAAGCGCAACGACAAGAAAAAGCCGACATGTTAATTCGCGACCAACTCGAGAAAGCCGCCGTCGCTCGCAGCACGGCGAACCGGGCCTGGGACGACGACGAGCTCGAGTTTGCCGAAGAAGGAGCAATCGACGATAAAGACGGGGTGGATCCCGAGGCCGAGTACGCCGCTTGGAAACTGCGCGAGCTGAAGCGCATCAAGCGCGAGCGCGAGGCGATCGAGGCCTCGGAGAAGGAACGCGAGGAGATCGAACGCCGCCGGAACCTGACGGCGGAGGAGCGCGAGCGGGAAGACAACGAGTTCATCGCGCAGCAGAAGGAAGACAAGGAGGCGAACCGCGGACAGACCGGGTTCATGCAACGCTACTTTCACAAGGGAGCCTTCTTTCGCGACGACCTGGAGCGCCAAGGGCTGGATCAGCGGAATGTTATGGGCGCGCGCTTTGCGGACGAGGTCTCGCGCGAGACTTTACCGCAGTATATGCAGATTCGAGATATGACGAAACTCGGCAAGAAGGGCCGCACGCGGTACAGGGACCTGAAGTCCGAGGATACGGGCCGCTTTGGCGATGGCTTTAGCAATCGGTCTCGTCGGTACGAGGGTGCTCCGGAAGGCGTCACGGACGAACGGTTCATGCCTGACCGCCGAGATGACCGTCCGAGAGGTCCTACGGGAGCGAACGCGGGCCCTGTCCGCGAGAGGCGCAGGTCGAGGACTCGATCGCGATCCCCTCGACGAGAGCGCAGAGATCGCTCGGGAGATCGATATCGGCCTGACGACAGCCATCGCCGGAAACGAAGTCCCTCGCCCTATGATGACCGCGATAAACGGAGACGAGTGGACAGTGATTCCTAAGGGCTTCTTGTACAAACAAATGACTATTTTATTTTATTCCTATTGGCATTGCTGGGTATCATGAAGTGGATGGTGCAGGGCTATTATGCATAAACCAATGGTTCATGGCTTTCTCATCTATTCTTCGTCGCTGTATTTATAAGGCCTGATTTGATGGGTCAATGAATTTACACCTGGACGCCATCTGCTCGATATCGGATCGTAAACCATCCATCATCTGTTGCATATACAAGTGGCCGACGCAATATCATGTCGACTTGTGTGATCGTTTGGGACAACTCAACGCCGTGACCGATCTAATTGGTTGTCCGGAATAGATGCCTTTGTCCAGCCGGTGAAAGCAAGCTCCTTAACACCGATCAAGATCTATCAAGGTCCTGTCAGAACCCTCGCATGATGCCCATCTACCTTTGCCCATAAGATAGCAGAAAGATAGGATAAATATAAACCCCCCCAGAAACATCCAACTCCGCTTGATAAAAGGAAGAAAACCACACAGGATAAGAATGAGTTCAACCAAGTCTCATTCATGTCATTTCATCGAGAACCCCAGAAGAATATCAATTATTTCACCCCCTGCCTCTCCAAGATATTCTCCCTCTCCATGACACTGTCCCCAAACCTCAACAAAAAGATCGTCCGACTCGGCCACATCTCCGTCGGCTGGTTATGAGCCGTGACTTTCGCCTCGAAGCCGCACCCATCGCACACGCCCTCGATGATCCCCGCTACGAACGCCGCGCAGCTCAACTGGTTCATCTCCTTGGGGACGCTGATGTACGTGTTCACGAGCGGGTCATTGTCCGTGATCATGTACTCGTTCGGCGTGTCGGGGGAGACGGAGTGTTCGAGGGCGTCGGCGGGGCGGTTGAAGAGGAGGCGCCAGAGGGGGCCGTGGATGAGATGTAGCAGGGGAAGGACGCGGAGGGGGCGGTTAGGTGGTGACGCGGAGGTCGAGGAGCTGGAGAGCGATGAGGACGTGGAGCTCGAGATCGTGCGGTAGAAAAGGAGGTCGAGGAGGCGGAGGCCGAGTGGGTAGCCTTGTTCGTTGAGGCTGGGTTGGTGCTTCTTGTTAGCATGGCCTTTCGGGATAGATGCACTTGCGGCCTATCTAGATGATTTCTGGGTTTCCGGGGAGGGCGGACGTACCGTTTCTCTAGATCCTGAATCCCCGTGACCCGTCTCTGCGCGTAGGTGACCATCTCCGCGAAGAGGAAGGCGAAGCTAGCGCGGCTGGATTCCGCATTTCGACTGCGGTTCAGATGTCGGTCGTAGATGGTCTTGCGGTTGGAGGGGACGCGCAGGCCCGGGGTTGTTTGCGCGATGGTCTGGATCTGTTGCGTTGGTTGGGGTTTCTCTGCAGCGACGGTGTGATTGGGATTGCTGTTGCTGATGGAAAGCATGGCAGCATGCCGTGAGGGTTGGGCCATAGCTTCTGGTTCTGTGGTGGTAGAGTTGAAGGGTAAAGGTTGGTGTCGATGGATGGAGTGGGTATAAGAGATGGCAGGTGAATCGTAGGTGAGATCAGCGCTAGATCAAGGCGACTGGGGCATCATGGTCTGGGTATAGATGGTAGGGGAGAATCAATCAATAAATAGTTAGGTCCGGTGTCATCGATTGAACTGTCAAGTAGGTTAGGTTAGGCACAAGGTAGAATGATAGTCAAGATGGTCGATTGCTGTCCGGCATCAAGACGTTACGGCGCGGCACAACACCACTCGTGCACTTTAAAGCACTTTTTTCTACAGCTTCATTTACAGCTACAATTTAGATGTGGAAAATCAAATGCGTTTCAAATATATGTATTATCATGATCAAGTCTAAGCTATGCAGATGGATGTTGACCATCAAGTCGCCATACTAAGATATGGAAGAGAGAAACCTGCTGAAGCGCCGTTAGCACAGGCACAAGACAAAAATCAAAATTTCAATCAGATTGAAAATCGATCAACGAGTCAGACATCCAAGGAAGTATTGCGCACAGTGCACGTCTTTGATGGGTTCAAGCGACGGCTAGCGTGGAAACTGCGAATGTAGGAAAAAATTTTCATCATAAAAGCCCGGAGGCTTGTTGATCGAAGCAACCAGAAAGAAATGTTCTTGCAACTTACCAGTTAGTAAAAAAGGAGCGAGTAGAGTCGAGAAAAGTGGGAAGCAATAGTGGACATCTAGTTGGCTTTGCTGGGAGCTACATGAAACTCCTGTCCCAAGGCAATGCTGGCGAAGAGTTGAGTGAAGAACAAAAGGTTGAAAAAAAGGTTGAAAATTTTTCGGGACGAAGCCGCCTTTTTATAGTGTTGCGGGTCGGCCTGAGGCTGCCCGGGAAACGCGCCAACTCCGACGAAGCTTCTAGCGAACACCGAAAAAACCCCTTCCCAACCTCCACAGCTCCAGTCTGCTTTGCCCTTTCGGGTTTTAATTATTCACGATAAGTTCCAGAATCCTTTAGAAGCTCTAGACGTGATCAAGCATCAATTGAAATCAAGCCAATGCATCCTAAATCCCGTACACGAGAATTTTCTTCGTCCTTTCTTTATCAATTCCTAGATAGACCGGCTATGTGCACTATGAATTCATAAATCAATAATAAATAGTATATATGTCACCCTCAAATGGCCGACGAGACACCAATCTAAGTCTGCGCTATTTTGTACTCTTCTGCTTCTGCCTGGAGTTCCAGTTTAGTGTCTTGGAGATACTTTGCACCCAGTCGTTGCCGCGTCGAGCTTGCGGAAGAACGTTCGCAAATGGATATCGCGATGCCGATACGGTCAGATAGTCACCGGGATGTAGTTCGATTCTATCATTGTAGTCAGTCCTAGTCCTGCCTCTATGATGCTGGGACATCCACTCACCTCTCTCGTCCGTCAAAGCTTGCCCACGAACTTGTCCGTGCATCGTATGGCACTCCCATTCGTAGAACAATCGTGTCCGGTAAAATGATCGGTCGGAAAGACAGAGTGTGAGCGCAGATAGCAGTGACGAGGATGACCGGGTTATCCGGATGGCAAAGAGAGCCCCCAGCAGCCAGATTGTATGCCGTTGAACCTGTCGGTGTCGCTACACAGACCCCGTCTGCTAGGAGCGTGGTGAAGTGCTCGTCGTCGCCAAACAACTCAATGGATGACATTGCTGTAGGCCGTTAGTCGTGCTGCCGTAGGCACTCAGATAAAAGATCGCAACTTACTAGCATTGGGACCCCGATCGAGGACGACATCGTTCAGGATCTGAACGACTTTATCCGGTTTATGCGTTAACGTGCCGTCGGTTTCTTCGCCGATCAGCTCTTCCACCATATCGCGCTTGACATGTCCTGACCCCTGCGGAAGCGGGTTATTTCTCATTATCGTGCATTCAAACCTGAGTCTCAAGCTCACGACCACGCCGTCCTTGACGGCAGTTTCAAGGGTCTTCTGATGGTGGTTGAAATCAAACTTGGTCAGGAAGCCCAGCGACCCCAGCGAGAAGGAGAGCACCGGCGGCACCACGTGCTGGAATAGCCAGCTCGTATATAGAACCGTCCCATCTCCACCCAGGGTGATGACGAAATCGAATAAATGGGCATTCTCATGCGCAAAGGCCGTATCCCAGTACCTGAGTCGGCCTTCCGCCGAGGGCTCCTCCTGCAGCAGCTTCGACACCGCAAACTCCGGTTCAGACTCTAATCGCTTTTCCACGTACACGTAGTATTTTGTGTCGCGATCACTGGAGAGGAACCACCGCGCGATCTCCCTCGTGTGGCCGATGACCGTCTCGTCTCCCGCCTTGGTGACCAAGAAGACGTTTTTGACCGAGAGCTTGAGCTTGATGCTATCCAGCTTCTTGGACAGTTTGCGCACATTCCAGGCCATGTCCGACAGCTGCTTTTTCGTCAGGTGGCGCGAGTGTACCACCGTTTGGGCGGTCCTTGTGCGCTCATCTCCCGTGTCTGTGACTATCACGTCATTTTCCTCCACGCCGTCGCCGATGATGAAGTCGTCGATGTCGCCCACCCGGTCCTGGACATCTCGAGCATGCACCGACGGGTCTACCCATTCCCCTGCGATCAGGGAATGCACGAAGCAGGCGGTTTTCTCGTCGGGGCGATCCAAATGCGGGATCTTGCCGGACTCATTGGCCATGACTAACGACGACTTGCGCCGGTGGCTACAGTCCGGGGAGATGACTACCTAAAATTCCCATGGCGGGTACAAGTTAGTCAAAGAAATCGGAAAGACTCGGGGGAGAATCGCGAGAGGGAAATAAAAGGCAAGCGCATCGAGATCTACAATACCTCTAGCTTGTTGTAGGCGTCCGTATCTGCCCCTCCATCTTCCTTCTGGGTGCGAGTCAGCTCCGGCGGCATCTTGCGGCGAGTCATCAACCTACACTGGGAGCCCAGGGCTGTTCATTATCCATGGCTCGCAAGCGACGATGATTCTCGAGTTTGTTCTGTTCGTCCTGTCGCTTAGGCTCTCATGGCGAGTCCTTATCCGGAGTGGCCGAGTGAAGGTTGAGAGTTGCGCCGGATTGGGATGCGGCTATGACGTCGCTCCACTTCGCCCGAGGCCCAGTCCGGCCTTCAGCTTCGCTCATTTCGTCGGATGCAAGTTGGGGGGTTTGGCATGGAGGTCAGTGTAGAGGTGAGTCGGTGTTTTCCTTCTGAATTCAGTTGCACCAGAAAAAAAAAAGAGTTTGTCCTTGTTTGACTGGTTTTTACTGGTGAGCATCTGGGCTGGTGTGACATATATATAAATCTCAACCAGTATTCACATCGGTGATAGAGCACCACTTGATCGGCTTTTTTCTCACAAGTCCTTGGACCATATAAATCAACACACCTACAGTTAATATTCGGGATGGATTCATAAAGCATTGTTCTGTGCTACACCGGCTACTCTTAACCCCCACAAAAACCAGCAGCTACTGTGACCTGAGATATTGCCACTCCAGACCTACGCGCAAACCTCCCAAGTCTAGTAAACCGAGACTAGAATCAAACCGTACGTACAAAACATTCC